CCCCCCCCCCCCCCCAACACCACCCTGTGCCCCCCAGGGAGAGGGGTGGGCATTCCTCTGCTCCAGGGTCGGTGCTTCAGTCCTGGAAAGATAGGTCTGTCCTGGGAGGGTACAAAGGGGGCTTTTCAGAGCCTCTCATCTGTGTGCTCCATCGCCTCCGCCCCGACGTCTGCAATTCGGGTGGGGGTCCCAGAGCCCCTTCCCAGAGCCAGGAACGCTGCTGGGGCTGCGTGATGGGGTCTAGGAAAAGTCTGACATCCACCCGCAGTGAGCAGTGGTACCTTTGGGTTCCGGAGCACGGGGCTGTGGCCATGCAGCTCTCAGGGTTCCCCTTCTCTTGGCACAGTTCTGACTCCCCCGGGTGGCACCGCAGCGGGCAGCATTTGGGGGAGGGCCGGCAATCGCAGCGTCCCCATGGAGCATCACCATCCCTACTGCCCCGTCCCATAGGGCCAGTTGAAGGTGCTCCCAGACAGCAGCATGTCCCTGATTAGTGTTTCGATGGGCGTCTTCCCCACCAGGCGCATGAAGAAGAGCTGTGAGATGAGGGCTGCAGGCACGGCGCGCAGGGCGGGCAGGCGCAGCAGGAGCCTCCCGAAGCGCTGCGGCTGCGATGGGTACTGAGAGCGCACGTACTCCGTCAGCGCCACCTGAGCCTTCTCCTGCAGCCCCTCCACGTGTGCCGGGTCTGACAGGCCGCAGGCATCTGGGGGGGGGACATGGGGAAGGGTTTAGAGGGGATTCTGTGGGCAGGGAGCCGCTGCGTCCCCGTGAGTGCACCCACATCCCCATGGGATCCCACCCCGCATCGCTGTTGTTTGACCCGCGTCCCTGAGAATCCCTGCGTCCCCATGGGACCCCCTGCGTCCCCATGGGACCCTCACTTACCTATGGGAACCCCGTATTCCTGTGGGAACCCCTTCACCCCTATTGGATCCCTGCATCCCCACAGGATCCCTGCATCACCGTGAGGACCCCCCTGCCCATTTCCCCCGCCAGCACCCAGGTGTGATGCCAAGCCCCCCGCCTATGCCCACCCTTTGCAGGGACACCCCACACTGTCTGTAGGGACCAGGGTCCCCCTCTATCCCCCAGTCTGTATTCCATCACAGCATTCCATCTGCTCTGCTGCACCTGCAGGGCACCAGGCACCCCTTCTGCAATGCTCACCATCCCCAAACCCCCATGGGATGCAGAGCTCCCAGCTGTGTGGGGTGGGTGCAGGGCTCAAGGGATGCTCACGGTACTCAAATCCCCATGGGATGCAGAGCTCCCAGCTGTGTGGGGTGGATGTAAGGCA